TCTACATTTTCCGTTGGCAAAAAGCTTTGCAAGCCTCGTTTTTCGGAAATCTCAACTCTTTACCTCGGCATTGATGCTCAAGATAACCGCAATGAATTTGATGAATTTTGGGAGCTTGACTTTCCACCCAAGGAGTGTCGGAATGTACGAAATTTGGTCATTAGCAAGTACACCGTGATAGTGTTGGATACGCGACCTAGCTCCGCCGCACTCACTGCGCCCCTATTTTATGGCAGATTGCATCAAAATAGGATGAGAACAAATAGCCGACATTTCGTCATAGGAAACAAAAGTGAGGCTGGTAGAGCTAGATGACCATTTGACGTCGCATTCACTCATAGCAAGGGAAGCGCCTTGATCAATAGCATTAGCAGAAGTGCCTTCGATAGGGAAGACTTCCAGAGAGGGAGAATAATGGAGCCAAATCGCGCTCTAAGATTTGCTCACGTTGCTGATTACCCAGTTGTCTTTGTGCTCGTGGAAAACTCACTTCCTAGTGCTAGAGCGAATTGTTTGAGAATGCAGGAGCTGGCAGAAGATGCATCCTATGTGAAGAACGTAGGAGGAAGGAGAATTGTCCTCGAGGAGGGAAACAAATATCTTACACATCGAGATCGCTGGAGCATAATGTTTGAATATGCTGTAGATGTAGTGGTGGTCAATAGAAATACCCGAGTGACAAAACACAGTGAGTTCATCGAACGCATGTTCACCGCTTTTGGCAGGCACGGCATCCGACCCAGCATGATTGCATTTGACATGGATGCAAATACGCGTGACCTCCCTAGAGGAAGATCGATTTCCCTTTGTATTCCCGACCCTGAAGACTTGTCTTACTCAAGAACACATACTTCCACTCATTGGAAGTTCTCTCGGCATACTCCTGGGGAAAACAATGACTGTTCAGCAGAAAGTTATCTACGTGTCTTCGACGATTACGCACTATACCTCCCTCACCTTGCTGAATACTTATATCCAGAAGTGGTTGTAGAGAGAAGAATAGAACGACAAGAAGAGGAAGAAGAGGAAGAAGAGGATATACAAAGACAAGAAGAACGACAAGAAGAGGAAGAGATGGAGGAGTTCATTGGCGGTGATGACGAACCAGGAGCGCCCCTTCCAAGGGAAAGAGAAGGAGGGGGAGAGCCTGCCGAAGAAGAACAACGGGAAGAGCAGGAAGAAATGGATGTGGAAGAAGTTGGTGGTGACGATGAACCAGAGGAGGCATCGAGGGAAGCAGCGGAAGGTCGCCAGATAGCCGTTCCACGAAGTCAGAGACTTAGAGGGCAAGAACGACACATAGCATCCACCGAAGCACCACGTGACGTTGTAGAGCTGCGGGAAGTGGCTTTTCCAATTCCCCAATTTTCGGCCTTTTCGTACGAGGAAAAAAACGAATTAATGACCAAATTGAACTTCCTTTTCGAGCAGGCAAAGGGCATGCAAAGGGCTCAGGTCACGGAAGCTAAAAACAGGGCAAGAGAAGCCATGCTTGATTACGAATCGAAGAAAAGATGCAACTTCATGACTCACGATCTCGATATGCTTCTTAACTCAGAGAACTTTCCTAATCCACAAGAACACAGAACAAAAAGGATTTTGGAACAGCTTACGGCAGAGAAGTACAGGTATTTCAAACCACTTTTTCCTAACGAGTGGGCCAATGGGAAAAAAGTTTTGCGCCTGCGCTGTGAACCTTGCTATGAGTATGGGAAGTCAAGATCAGCTGGAACCGCTTCATATCCTATAGCAACCGAAAAAGGAGTCGACTTTACGGACAGCGTGATCAAGACAATGTTAAATCATGTGCGAGGTACATCCACTAAACATGAACTCGCCGTGCAAGCCTACATAGAGAAGAATCATGCGATAGTCAACAAATATCTTGAAGCCGTCGATCAGGCTCCTACAGATACTGCTGCATCCGGCAGTCGTCTCTTTATGCTGGCGTACGCAGCAGCAAAAATGTATCTTCCCCCCTACCAGTTCCCCACACTCTGCGCAGCGGTGACAGCAATGGGCGCTGATATAGGGAAACTGCAGCATACGCGTGATGGCTTCGTCGATGACCGACTATATTAGTAAGTCCATGCAAGCAAAGCTGATTCAGTATATAAAAACAAATCAGTCTCCATTCTCTTTGTTTGACTCGTCAACAGATCCTGGCAGCAAACAAGTTCTTCTGGTTTTCATTCGTTTTCCTGATCGATTCTCACTGCATCCGACGACGCATTTTCTGGAGGCTTTAAAAATGACTGAATCCGAGACCGGGCGGAACATCTTCGAGAAGATTTACGAGTATTTTAAGAGAGAAGATTTGTTGCATGAGTTCACCTGGAATCTTGTAGCAGTAGCAACTGACGGTGCAGCTAATATGAATTCACCCAGAAGGGGATTGCGGGGAATACTCAACGCGAATGTTTCGAGAACACGTAAAGACGATCTCCTGAGTCGCGGAGATACACAAGATGCCATAGACGCAGTTTCACCGTCACCTGTAATTTGGATTCACTGCATGGCTCATAAAATCGAGCTTGCTCTGACGGATGCATTTGCCGGTAAAGTTCCAGCTCGTGATGATGCTGAAGAAGAAGAGGATGATGATGAAGATAAAAGCGAAAGTGAAGAAGAAGGTGAAGGGGAAAGTGGAGATGCTGAACCGGCCAGGGCTCGCAGAAGAACTCAACGTTATGCTGTTTGAAGGAAGTTTGCAACAAGTTTTCTGAACAAGTTGCGTGTGTTTTTTTCTGCTCCATCAAGACTTCGTATTTTGCGTGAAGTACACAACGTAGTTGAGGACGAGCCATTTGTCAAACTCAAAGGCATTATTGAAATTCGGTGGACGTCATCCGAAGAAAGTGAGTTTTTAGCCTTGTTATAGTGTTCATCCGTAAACGTCGCTTTTTCAGATGCCATTCACAGCTTCATGAGAATGTACAAACATGTGTGGGTCGCATTGCAGCAGATCTCTTTGAGTGATGAGAGATCTAATCAGGAGCGCATGAAGGCTGCCTCATTTCTGCGCGCCATCAAATCATTGAAGTTCTACAGATACATGGTATTTCAACTGCAGATTTCAGGACAAATCAGCGTTTTGTCCAGACAAGACCAGGTTAGTTCTCTTACCATATTTTGATGCAAATAATAACATCCGGTTCAGAGCGAAGCAGCATTATTATGGAAGGCAGTCAGAGATCTTGTTAAGATGCTCCGGGGGTTGAATAACATGGCAGAACGTCCTAACGCCTACGAAAAAACCAGACCTTTTCTGAAACAAGTGCTGTGCAAGCCCGTAACTGACAGAGGGCGATTCCGACGAAACGCTTTGGATTCGCGGGATTGTGAGAGATGGTGAGCTTAGTATCTATGTTTTTTGCAACTTTCTTATTTACTCACTCCTAGGTTTTGGAATGGCTGGCAATACGAGCCATTAGGCGAAGAAATCCAGTACAAAATGAGCCACGACACAATTGAGTTGATATTTAACAGAGAAGCAGGAAGGAGGGAGAGAGACGAGGAGCAGGTGCTTTTGGACAATATTGCCGGAGAATCAAATGCTGAGCGGAACAATCTCATACACTGGCTAATGAATCCCCAAAATTTCCCTAATTTCAATGAGGAAGTCACTAGAAGATCTATTAGTGAGCTTAAAATCAGCGAAGACTTTCGGCGTGCCTCATTTACGAACATGGATCACGCTAAAAGAGTTCTGCTTGTGAACAACGTAGGTGGTGCTCTTAGAAGCCGTTTGGAGTATGAACACAATTCCGTGCTTTATGCGATTTCGGGTTTCTCACCCAGAAGTATTCGAAACTATGACGCCGGTGAGGAGAGTACACGGGAGATAGTTTCCTCCTTTTCCGGATATCCTAGTTTGGAGGAAGATGTCCAGCAATTATCACGAGAGCTGAACCGACTACCATTACAGCAGAAACGACAGTTTGACAAGGCTGAGATAAAAATGCAGTATTTTCTTCCTGTCCTGCGGAGTTGCATAAGGTCTGATCCAACTCGAATCACATATCGCCGAAGCCTCTTAAATCTGCTAGCAAAAATAGTGTCCATCCCTGTTAGCACTGCAGAAGTGAAAAGAGGATTTTCCGTGTATACGGTCATCAGGGAGCCTCGAAGAAGCCGCACAACAATTAGACATATGAGCAATTATTTGATGTTCGCTCCCCTTTGTCTTTGAAGCACACCAATATTTCCCTTCCTTTACAGAATTGCGATAAGTGACGAATTCCTACAATACCCAACAAACTGGTTCAAAGAAACTGGCCACTGGCCCGCTGACTATCCTGGTGCCATAAGAGTCCCAGGGAAGAAAACGCTGGAACGTCTCAAAGAAGAACAATCATTCCTCTCCATTTTTGATCCTAACCGGTTCTACACTCAGTTCTATTTCTCGCTTTCCGATCAAGAGTCTCCTCCTATAACAGTGTTACAAGACCGAGATATAGAAATTATTGATCTCGAAGAATTCTGATTGCAATAGTTTTACGTTCATAAATTTCAATGAAGTATGAACCTATTTCTATATTATGTGTTCTTCAGCGTTCAAAACTATGTATAAATTATCACTGCAAATTACACCTGGCGCAGATGCATGCAGTTGACAGTGGCAGCTTCCGCGGAGGCGTAGGCTGCAGCGCACGCATAGAGAGCATTGGGAAAGCAAGACGCAGCGTGCAGAGAGAGTGTGGGGGCGGCGAAGAGTGCAGACGGCGCGAGGGTCGTGTGCGGTCACTTCCACGGAGGCGCAGGCTGCAGCGCACGCATAGAGAGCATTGGGAAAGGAAGACGCAGCGTGCAGAGAGAGTGTGGCGGCGGCGGAGAGTGCAGACGGCGCGAGTGCCAATCAATGTTACCTGCCAGCTTATGCCACTCAAAACACAACACTAGCGTTACAAAAATTTATTATAAGCAAAACTATGTACAGATTATCAATGCAAGTCATCTACAAATATTTACATTTATTTACATGATATTTACATAATTTTTTACATAAGTGTACATAGGTACACGGGGGGTACTTCGCCCCCGCCCTCGACTTCTTCGGAGGACGCCTGACTTGTTGGTGCGCTTGTACTTTGGCTGTCCTCAGCATCCAAGGCCGCTCCTAAAAAATTGCTTTTAGCCTAAGTAGCTTAATTGAATTTGAACTCGAAAAAAATTGAACTCACCTCTGCTCGCTCCGCCATTCTCCTCATCCACCTCCGCCGCCTCCTTCCACCCCATCATGGCACCCTCCACTCGCCTTTGAAAAGTCGGCCAGTATAAGACAAAGTGGAAGGCGCCGATCGCCCAGACGATGGCGATCACAAGCATCCCAGCACTTATTGCAATTTTATTCCTGAACAGCATTCATTTATATTTGCACATTCATTTTGTAGAAAACTTACGCGATGCCCGGGACGACACATTCTGCCCAATCCCAGAGCTCCTTCAGCTCGCCTAAGTCAGCTCTAGTCAACATACTTGCTGAAAACTTACTGCATTAAGAGCATCAGTCACATTTTTCAAGGTTAGAAGTACTCGACACAACAGTTCCACGAAGACCACAAAAGTATAAAGAAAATTTTTATTACAACAGCTTCGAGTATACTACATATTGATATGTATAATATATATACAGTAAAAACGGCCGCAACGGCTAGGCGGGTCTGCAGAACCCCTTCACGGCGGCGTGCAGTCCTCTCATGGTTCGTTTGGCCCTTGGCCAGTTGAAGAATGCGAAGACGCTCAGCAAAACGGCTGCCAACAATCCAGCTCCAATTGCTAACGCAACCCCGATAAAGAAACTAAAGGCTTTTTGTAAAAGAGGCAGTGAGTACTCGGGCATGTTCCTAACACTTACTTCGCAAAGGAGCTCCTCTGATGCTCCTCCCCGCACTGGAACAATTCCTTCATAAAGCAGGGCGAGACTACCCTAAGTACGTGGGTGCTATTGCAGAATCCACTCATGACTGGAAGAGAGTAGATTTCAGAACCTATTAGGCATAATTGTAGAGGAGAAGGTAGAGAAGATGTGATCAAGAAAACCAAATGTGTGGAAAAAGCTTGTAATCCTCTTCTTTTATATGCTACATTTTCCAAACACGCCCATTTTTGACCTTCATATTGATTTCTGCTGCAAATCCTAGTAAGCTCATGGTACAAGCTCAACTTTTGCAAGAGCAAGCCAAGACGGCTGGCGCCGCCCATTGACCTCGCAATCACATGAGACAGCTCTCGCCAAAATAAGAGCCAAACAACGCTAACGCATCTCAAACGATAGCAAGAGTAATGAGAATTACATATTTGGGAATGTTTTCTTCAACTCCAACACAACAGAGTGATAGAGTACACGACTGCATAGATGGGAACGAAAACAAGACAATTTTTATAAAAGTTTCTAACTTTCCTACATTTTTTTTAGTTACACCATTTATACAACTCTTCACTGTGCTACACTCTATAATTTTATTTTGTTTCAGGTGAACACAATTAAGCCACAAATTTTTTTTATTGTACCTTCATAGATACATATATACGAATTTATTTGCCAATAATTTCATATTCATCACCAAAACTCTCAAAAACATTATCCACATCTGATAGTTACAGGAAAGACTGTCTGTCAACTGTCAGCATCTCAAGCCTTTGAATATCTGCCAGAGTCCATCGGCCATTTGATTTTCGGTCGAAAACAAGACAATTTTTATAAAAGTTTCTCACTTTCCTACATTTTTTTTAGTTACACCATTTATACAACTCTTCACTTTGCTACACTCTAAAAGTTTATTTTGTTTCAGGTGAACACAATTAAGCCACAAATTTTTTTCATTGTACCTTCATAGATACATATATACGAATTTATTTGCCAATAATTTCATATTCATCACCAAAACTCTCAAAAACATTATCCACATTTGATAGTTCCAGGAAAGACTGTCTGTCAACTGTCAGCATCCCAAGTCTCTGAATATCTGCCAGAGTCCATCGGCCGTTTGATTTTCGGTCGAAATCATTGCAATCCACGCGATCCACCTAAAAATAAATTTTTTCATTAAAGAATGATACAGGATAATGAAATGATATTCATCAAAAAAGTACTCGGAAACATTTTATTACATTAAAGTGTATACAAATAAATTTAGAAATTTTAAAAGCAAAAAAATTGGAAAATTGTTGAAATTAAAATTTGGAATAATTAAAGTTGAAAAATTGAAAATTATTTTTTTCCATTTCCCCCCCCCCCCCCGGTCGACGCCGGCAATTTTTTTCAATTCCCCCCCCCCGGTCGACGTCGGCAATTACTGGACCCCCTTCACTTTGGGGGTCAAAAACACCCGAGACCCCCTTCACTTTGGAGGGTACCCATCTCAACCCTTCGCACCTATGTGTACAAGGGTGAGTATTCGTCGCAAATGACCGCGGGGACCGCCCTTTTTCGGCGACCTAACGTCCCCCACCCGAGGATGAACATTGCTGAAGTTTTGTTAGCCTGCTTCTATCTCAAAAGCTTACACTCACCAAAGGGCTGCAGACTGCTACAAAAAATGATTTTTTTCCGTCAAAATTAAGTTTGTGCGAATACGACTCCAGAGGACAAAAAGTTATGGTTTCACAAAAACGGTGCGACAAAACTTTTGAACCAACCTATTACTTTGCCCCGGAACTCACAGCAAGCACAGTGTATTCTGGTGATTGTGACTCACAAATCCAAGCCTGCAGTAATATAGTTCTCACAAACAGCGGAAAGAATGAGTGAGCCAGTTACGGTCGAAGGAACATCAATTAACCTTCACCAACAAAATTACCAAAAATCAGTTCGCCTCTTTCACCTTGCTTTAGAACTCTTACATTGGTGCTTGCATCATTTCAAAACTTCAGCTCTCACTATTCTGAAAATAATTCTACCGAAAGACTAGGACTAACATAAGAGACAATGGTAAAAGAGCAAGGTCTCTTTTATTCCCGAAGAATAAGCACGTTACATCTACAGTTTTTTTGGAAATTACGATTACTACATCGTCTCTGCTTTTTTTTCTAGGTATCTTCAGTCAAATGGTAAATAACGAGTAAGTCAAATGCTCTTCCTCGGAATAAAAACCTGCCATAGATTTTTTAAGAAAACTTGCTACATTATATTTCGTGCATAGCATGAAACGATGGTAGCAACTGAATAAGTACGTAGCCAACTTTTTCTGAAAATTATGGAAGATATCACATGTTTGCGTCAAGTTAAACAGATATCTAAATATTTGATATTACGTCAAAGGTGCTGTCACGCCCACAGCGGCTGCATAACAGCGGGCGAAACTCGATTAGTTTGAAAACTTACAGATGTTCTTCTTTTTGATTTTGCCTTTAACGGTAGAGAACTCACTTACATGTTTTCTAAAGAGCCATTTTTGATAAATTACAATAAATCATTTTTAGGCAGTTTTAGTGCCTTCAGCATCAGAAGGTGGTTTGAACATTCGATAAAGCTATACTCCAATCATAATCATTTACAGCGTATTGCCCTGATGGTGAACTCGAAAAATTTTATATCGATACTAACACACTATGCTTTACTATACTAACATACTATGCCAACTAACTTCTTTTATTATTGATCAAGATGAGATCAATAATAAACGAAGCCAGTTGGCACAAGGACAATTGACAGACGGTAAAACACCCACAGCGAATCCATTTCCAAAAGCGAAGGCAATGAACAAACTTGTAAGTGTATTGTATTTCATACTTCGGGCATGTATAACCCTCAGACAACTGCATCGGAAAGTTTGCGGGTGCTTGCTCGACCACCAATCATCCATGCCGCGAGCTGCCCGGTATAAATCGGTCTTGGACCAGATAAGTGACTGCGGCGCATCCTTGCCCGTTAAGCGCCTACACTTGACCCGATTAGCATGGTAAGTCCTAGGAAAAGTGAAAAGTTTTTTGGCATTCCTTTCATAACAACGACCTGAGTGCAAATTGAGCAATTTGTTAGCTCATCTCGACATCTTCTGATGTCGTCGATAACACTCATCTGACTGCTGAAATTTGTTTCGTAAGCATAAAACTAAACTGTCAGACAGGACTGAACCCGAGCGATTACCAGGCCTCACAAACATTTAGGGTAGCCCCAGCGCTTCTGTGTACCTCACGCGGTTGCGCCTTAACCTACAGCGTGTAGGAAGTGCGGCCTTTGATAAGGCCCGCGGCCCGCGGAGTGATGTGATTGGGCCGCGACTCTCCCGATAATCTCTTCTTAATTTCAACTTTGGCCGGGACTCCCGGTAAAATATACACGGGCCGCGGCGCGCTATGTAACACGCTTTGAGGCCTCGAACTTTTCCGATGCAATTGTCTGAGCGTGTCAAAAATCAGCACTTAAGCTTGAAGGTAAGAGCTCCTGAATTCTAATCTTGATTTGGCTCAAGTATTTCAGCTCCAAATAGTAGTCTATTCAGATAATAAACTATTATATAAAGCTACGTAAAAGCTTGTAATAACAACTTAGGAATGGGGCTGCGATTTGGAGAAAACCGCGATACAAAAATTCGAGATCGACTGTACACGTTCGACAAAACCTGAAGCTGTCAGCGAAAAAGCGCTCTTCTATGAGTAAGCAATCACTTACAGACTTTTCATCCGTGGTAACTGTGCCGTGGCCTTGGTAATGGATTAGATATCATTTATCTAGTTCAGCAAATTCTCAAACGTTTCGAAAGTGAATGGTGACGGCACTTTTATAGCGTTTACTTTCATGTGTGAAGATCATATTACGACGTAAATTTTAGCGATCCTGATGAATTCGGGTTTCCGGCGAGTTTTGTGGTGGGCAAGGTAAAGGAGCTAAAGGAGCATAGGGCCGCTGAGTTTACAAGCCTCAGTCCGGCCACCAATCCAATCAAAGGCCTAGTAATGATGACAAATTCGAGAACCGCTAGTGTTAGTTTCCGTGCGAGAGTTCTACACGACATCAACAAGATAATGTCAGCATATTTCAGCTTATGAATGATCAAACGACAAAGATTGGACATGGAGAGTTGAGAAGAATTATCTTTTTCCGGAATTTACAACTGAGCTGGTTGCTCAGTTGTGATTTCGGAAAGGGATAATTGTTATGCCTCACAGACAAAGCGTAAGCTTTCCCGCAGATTTGCCTGTTGCGTGGATAATGAAGAATTTGCAAACCTCAAGCTAAATGTCAGGTTTTCTGGAAAAGATTGTGTAAGGACTGGTTCAAAAGTAAGTCTAAATTTCTCAAATATTCAAACATTTACAATTACAGTTTGGTGCTTGTTACGATCCTAGAACAATAAACCCCTTGTCAAGCAAACCATCAGATAGAACATACCAGATGGATTTATCTAGTATTTTTGGAGATCACTTGAGTTAGAAGTCTTATGCTTCTTTGGTACACTTTTTGAGAACGCGTATGATAGATATCACTGAAAGTTCTTGATTCGGCATTGCTGTTAAGAAATTTTACGAAAT